CTCATTTTCCTTTAGAACTCTCTTCCTTAGAAAATGAGAAGAAAAAAGGTGAGGTTAGACAGTATACCATTTGGAGGGAGCAAATACACAAGTTGTGAATTTTATTGTAATTCATTTTCTCTATGTAACTAAAAAAGATACCACTCTTAGGTGGGGCTGAACGCGATGGAACTGATAATAAATTACACATTTGGCACTTCTTGCTTGATCATTCCTCTTCTTTTTGCCCGGGCAAGAGGATCCTGAACTTTGCAAATATGTTCTCTCACTCACTGATCTCCACCCCATTTGACTATAAAAAAGCTTTGGAAGGTTTCCTGAACTGAAAAGATACTGCTTTTCTGAATAGACTTTGTTCTGGAAAACAAACATAATTATTTTCAGGATATGGATAAAAATACTTAGAGATAGGATTTCACAAAGAATAATATAGATATTCTCTGAAACATTTCTTCAGAAGTTAATCTCAACGCAGAACTTTTCGAAAAAATATGTTTACTGCACAAGGATATAGTTACCTTTACGGGACACATTCTGATGATAAACTTGCAATGTGGTAACAACGTGATGGTTTATTAGCTACTTTCAAAACGTCATAATTTGTATATACATGTCATCTGAAAGTTCATCCATGCGTTATTTCCAGTTATATTTTTCTCCTTTAGTTTGCGCCACTAGTATGCTAATAGTAAGCATCTGTTTCATTTTGACAGTTATTTGGAGGAAGTTCTTCAGGGTAAGCTTCAATGCACTTTTCCTCTTTTTTTGTTTTTCTTTTGTAATATTTCGGATGTTCAAACTATTAAGTTGCTATACATCATTCCGTATTTCACATGAATATAGGGAGCTGAGCAAGAATGCATTGAAAAACAAGAAAAAGCGGGAGAAACAACGGGAGAAAAAACAAACTGAGGGTGCTTCTGGAACTGGTGGTTCATGATCAGATGCAACTTTACAGAATGCTGTCTTTGACAATGCAGGTCATGAGGGGCCTAAAGCAATATAAGGTTTTCATGGACCCTCAACATACCGGAGATTTATTTGATTTGGCCTAATATTTGTAGAAAATATAAATCAAATTTTGTTTCATATCTTCTTTCCAAATTTAGTTTTCAGCCCATGTGCTAGATTTGAAATAAAATTGCCCTTTTCTCAAGTAAATTTACTTGTGTTGGATGAGTGGGATGGTGGAGCTGCCAGTTAGAGAGGAAGTTAGTGACAGAAGGGAAATGTTTCTCTTTTTCTTTTTTTGTTGTTGTGTTACTACCTTCTGGTTATGAAATACTAGTATAGTGCCCGCGCGATGTGTGAAAAATATTAGAAGAAAAATTGTAATCTTATTTTTAGATAAATGTAAAATTTACGGATATAGTTAAATAGAGACAGTTGGCACAATGACACACGTAAAGTTCTTACTTTTATATAGTACCCGCTTAATACGCGGATGTTGTAAAGTAAAGAAAACAAAAATTGAAAGTTGAAATTATTTTATAGTATTATTTATGCGTTCATCATAGTAAAGCATAATTAGCTTAACATAACTATGACCGAAGAACTTATCTAAAGCATAATAGTTGTAACATGGATCCTTTATTTTGCTTGTTAATAATATCTAGTATCTGACACTCGTTATAGTTTTCGTCATGCGTAAAACATTATGTAGTATAGCAACTCCACTCATATAGGCCCTTGGTATCCTAATCAATTATAAATAAACTAAAATTGCTTAGAAAATTTCCAAAAGAAAAGCAATGAACAATTTGTTTTTTAGTTTTTCAATGTTTATACTTTCGATATTTCTATGTCTTCCCATCAACTTTCAGCCACATATGTCATGGCAAACTCGCACGAGTTTCGATCATATATCTTTAGCATAGTTTTGCACCTCTTGATAAAGTTACAAATTGCTTAATAAACTTAATTAGACGCACACATAAAACACACACATAAATTTTGTCCATATGAATTTCTGTTATCATAGAATGATTGTAAAGTTTGGAGCATCCGATTAATGGGTGAAAAGGTGAATCGTGGCAGAATGATAATGTGAATAGAGGGGACATAAACCTGCATTTTCTCGAGCGAATCATCTTGTTGCATTCTATAATTGAACATTCGAACGTACACACATACATATACCAACAAAGTAGTGATACCGGAAGATATGGCTTCATACCTTTGTTCGTACCATCCATATCACATAATATATAGTCCCTCGGTTCCAATTTGTATGAGGGTTGACCTACTTGGGGAGTCAAACATCTTTATCTTTGATTCAATTTCAAGCATAGATTATTCGAGTAATTTTTAATAGAATTTACATATTTAAAAATTACATAAAAAGTACTACAAGTCTACGTAATTAATCATTCACAATGTATGAAAGGGTTGAAGAAAATCATAGTCAAAGAAAGAGTTGTTTGACTCTCCAAATAGGTCAACCCTCATATAAACTTAACTGGGACGGAAGGAGTAGCTAAACATTAATTTTGTCTATTAAATCAAAGACTCACTTTCTCTCATTGCGTGTTTTTAAAGTTGGGATCTAAGATTATTTCCCCAATAAATCAATCAGGAACATGAGCACACAATACTGAGTAACCCATATATTGAAAAGAGTAATTTATTATAGGTGCATGGCCTTTATTTATTTAGTCCTAAACTCCCTATAGGGGTCTTAGAGTTATTTGGTTAAATAATTGCTATTTAGAGTCAATAATTGTGTTGCAGATTCTTAATCAGCATTCTATTTTTTCTTCACCAAGTTATGCGAATCAATGAGTTTGGTTAACCAACTTTTTAAAATTTGTGTCAACAACATCTTTTGTGATACACTTCTTCTAGTTTTGATACAATTTTCTTTAAACTTTGAACTTTCGAGCTTTTTGAGAGAATACAAATCTTGGTGGTTAGCACGTAGAAATTCTTGTTTGTACCGTCACGATATTTTTCTTCCATGAGTCATTCTCAAGTACCTTTTTTCATTTTTCTATCTCCTCCTGAATTTGAACATCTATATTAACAAATGAAGTTAGATAAAACATCGATGATGGCATGAAATGACCAACTCCAAGTCTACAACAAAGTTTTTAATCTCATGAGCAAAGTTCGCCTGAGCATCTGCATCAAATTTTGACTCATATTAAAAGATAGTTTGCAAAGTGTTAAATCCTCAAATAACAACAATTATCTCCTAGCCAAATTTTATGAAAATATAGATGTTACTGAATGTTTCTCTTTTCATAAGAGAATTTCTAAACATCTTGATCATTTAGTTGTGAAGTTGGAAGTTTTTCAATTATTATTATTCTCGAGAAATGCTTATTCATAAGAAGATAGTATGATGCTATAATTAAAAGTGATTATGTAATATTTCTTACAATTAGAGATCTGCAAATGAAGAATAAGCATAAGAACCAACACTTAATATGCAAGTTTGAAAATGTAGAAGAAAAATGCAAAAATTGGTTAATTGAAGGATGCACAAAACCGACAGTAGAATGAACACAATCATTTTCTTTGTCATATGAAATAATTTTCTTTTTCAGTTGTAGCAAATCTTAATCTTCTTTATTAAATGGTTTGACTTTATCGATGGTGATAATCCCATATTGCGCCTAAAATTAAACAAAAGAAAAAAATTAGTTTATTTAGAGGAAGAATGAAGATAGATCCACAAAAGATGCAGTTAAAATAAGAGGAGATTTTAAGCCAAATAACGTTAGTAAACACATAAGAATCTGGGCAACATCTTGATGTAGAAACAAAAATATAAACACAAAATAAACAAAATTTAAAATGTAAAGGAGGTGAAGAAGTGTTATTTACAAAAAGTAAAGTGTGTTTACAACACTATTACGACAGTTATCCTCTAAGAATAGCATAGAGTAATAATTTCTTCTCTATTACGACAGTTATCCTCTAAGAAACAGGTAGAGATAAAATGAAAGGATTCATTGTAAATGTGTTTACAAAGATGATAATTATTTAATATGTGTTCTCGCTCCTTTTTTTTGCCGTGTAATGTCCTATATTTCAGTGTGCATGTATGCAGGAGGTTATGTGCAAGTGAACGTGCAAGTGAAATGGGGGATGGGAAGTGAGAACGTGAGTTAGAGGATTAGATTAGTTTTCCTCTATTTTATCATTATTTGTTTCAGACTTTTTTTATATATATATATAATATTTTCAAACTCCAAAATTTTTGGAGCTTTGTGCTGAAGTGCCACTTGGTTCAATATGGTGTTTTTTTCCTCTCCTTTTAATTAGATACTAGTATACATACCCGCGCAATGCGCAGGCAATTAATAAATGTAATCATGAATATACAGGTTTATTAAATAATTTTAAGATTTAGCATATTATAAAATAATATTGTAAAGCTTACATGAAAGAATGCTAACATATTTGGCACCTCGAATGGTTATATTAGTTAACACTAATAAAAAAAATCAATATATAAACTTTATTCACTGTTTAAATTTGTTAACCATAACTTTGAACATTATATAATTATTTACTTTATTTGTTTTACAAATTATTCAAAATCATAAATTCCTCACATAATCCCTGTCATCCTCTTATATGCATTTTTTACTATAATACTTTTAGTTGATTTTTTTATTTAGCATTTTACTTATAATAAATAATTATTTGGAACTACTTATATTTTGTTTCCAATATGATATATTTAATTTTAGTTTTAGTTATTGATATTATCTACACATGAATTTAAATTATATTTATTTTCATTTAACATCTATTAAGATTTCAGTTAGATAACCTTATCCATAAAGTATGTTTTGTTGAATCATAACTCAAAGACTTTCTCATAGCAAATTCAAATATGCCTTATCTTCTATATATTTCCACACTATAATTTTTTATTCGTATACTTTTTTTTCTTGTTGCATATATTTTGTGTTGCACTTTTGCGTACCTTATCATACGATTATTTTTCAGTTTTGTACTTATATGCATTTTTTACTATAATACTTTTAGATGATTTTTTATTTGTATATTTTTTTCTTGTTGTATATATATTGTGTTTACAGTTTTAAGTACTTTATCGTACGATTATTTTTCACTTTTTCACTTATGTCCTTGCCTATCATTCCTTTGTTAATATAATATAAATAGATATTTTACATTCCTTAAATCTAAATTATTTTAATACTTCTATTTTATTACTCAAGATTGCTTCATTCTTTAAATTTATAAAATAAATATTATATCAGCATAAATAATGTAAATCAATCCAAACTTGAGATAGACCTATGAATATTGGTGGCATCTCAATGTAATAATTTAACAATCTTTTAGCATGATTTTACTTAATTGCTTGAATTTTTTATAACTTATAAACAAAGATTTGAGTTACTATTATTTTATAAATTATATCGATATTTTAAAATATTATATTAAAATCATATGCAACATGAAAATAAACTTTTGCTTCTAACTTCCCAATAATAAACTTGAGATGGCTCATGATTTTACAAAGTAGTTGGTATATTATTTCTCATTTTAGCCTCTAAACGCATTTGTATAGTTATACACATCTTCATTGAATGGCATGACTAAATTATCTTAAGATTTCTAAAATTAATAAATCAAATGGATTAATAAAAATATTAACACAGAAAAAAAAACTAACAGGATAACACATAAAAGTAATACCCATAATATTAAACAATTTAAGAAGCTTAAAGTTAACTAAATCATGCTTAATTGTTGTGGCTTCATCATTAACCTCATAATCAATACTTGATGAGACTCTAAGTTCGTAAATTGCAACACAAACATAAAAATAAAAAGTTGAAATCATAACTTTTTCAATACAAAATAATAAAAAAAAATACTCAACCAAACATATTATCAACAAATGTTCATTAAATAATATTTAGTAATGGAAGGAGAACTAAAATAAACAATTTAAGAAGCTTAAAGTTAACTAAATCATACCTTAATTGTTGTGGCTTCGTCATTAACCTCATAATCAATACTTGATGAGACTCTAAGTTCGTAAATTGCAACACAAACATAAAAATAAAAAGTTGAAATCATAACTTTTTCAATAAAAAATAATAATAAAAAAATACTCAACCAAACATATTATCAACAAATGTTCATTAAATAATATTTAGTAATGGAAGGAGAACTAAAATCCCCATTAGCATTAATTGATGCGTCATCTTCCTGTGAAATTCAAATAAAAAACCTTAAAATTAAATTGCTGAAAAGTAAAAAATATAAATTACAACATCAAAAAATATATATATGTTTATGAAAACACACTTTTGCTACAACAATTTCGTCCGCCTCCTTACAATCATTAGCCATTATAGTTTTACATTTCTTAGAAAGTTTAAAAAAAATTATATTATCGTGATCATATAGTTCGGGAATAAATATTACACAACTGCACAATAATGTAAGTTGTAGAAGAACATTACTTGATAATGATTCGATGTGATCCACTAATCTTTTTGCAATCGATTAATTTTTCAGCTTCTCAATAAATAAATAAAAAAAGTGGTATCACCAATATTATCTTTCACTTCACATGTATCTTGAATCTTATCAAGTCATTCTCTCGAGGCTGCGACCATTACTAAGATTTTTAGAATAAAGAAAGCAAAAGAGAAAGAGAAAAAATTCATAAGGTTACTGAGAAAAAAAGAAAATAGATTGAAAAGAAGAGAGAAAAATTGTAAGGGATGGGTTTAGGATAAATCTGAGAAATTGTAACCGCTTTGAATTCAAAAGTATAATTAAAAGTTATTTTAAGTTTACAAAATTAATGTAAACAATCTGCAATTTTTTCTCTATAAAGGAGTAGTTCAACTACGCTATTTTATTAAAAAAGTTAGTTTAAAACGTTAATATAAAAAAATTGATAACTTCTCAAAAAAAGAGTCCTAAATGTGCCTTAGATTACGGCTGCACGGTTAATCTTAAGTTAAGACTTTGCATATTTCAAAACAAATTTAGAACTTTTTATTAGGACACTTGATAAGCTTGAATTAATATTAATCTATAAAGAATCTCTATATAATTTAGCCCAAAAAAAAGGGCAAGAATTTATTTTAAATAATTTTTTTTAAAAAGAATAGGGTGTAATTATTATTACTATTAATTATTAATTATTAATTATTAATTAAGAGAATATGTAAGGGGGACTTTTCAATTTGTTTAAAAACAATTAAGTTAGAATAATGTGCAACTCATGTAGCCTGCTTTTTCCTGAAAATAAGGAGGTAAAAACTATGTTATTGGATTTTAAACATTTCAAAAGTTGGGATAACTATACAGGAGAGAAAATGGTGCAAACATTTCGGAGCACTCATAACCAAACAACTGAATTTGAATTTGAGTTTAAACTACATGTCTATTTTTCCTTTTAATACTATATAAAATATATAAATATATCAAAAATAAAAAACAACGAAATATCCTAATACGTGCTTAATAGTTGGAATAACTATTTAGGAGACAAAATGGTCATGTTTCAAGAAAAAATATTCATATTTCTATATCATTACTCAAAAACATAGATTCAAAACTAACAAATTCTATCCAGAAAAACGTGTATTAACTAACTCTATTAATTTTGAAGTAGTTGCTTTTCAAATAATTTTATTTATAGCACCTATTTTTTTGGAGGCTTGTCCTAAAGTACCATGTGACATATTCTGATTATGACACTTGGCTTAAGGAGATGGCTTTTTCCTCTCATTTTAATAATATATAGAGGATAGAAGATATGTAGATATATTTTGGTTTTAAAAATGAGAATTTTTCTAGTGATGACACTTATCATCCCATCTTTGTTTTGCCTCTTCTATTATATATAGATAGAAAATATAGTATTTATTTTCAATATAAAGTTTTAATTTTTACGTTCTTTACTGTGTATGTTGTGATTATTTCATTATTAAATATTTTATTTTGTGTGAAGTAATAATAACCTGTGAAGACTTTTCCTCTCATTTTAATAATATATAGATTTTTCTCCTTTTTCTTCGTAAATAAATTGTAAAAATTGTTGATTCCAACAATGGAAGAAAGTTTTTATTTATTCGTAATTGCCAAGTTTTATAAAAAATAAAGTAACTGAACGAATAAATTTCTCCCATTTCCAACAAACGTGGGACATTTATAAATGTGGGAGATTTTGGGGTAATACAAAATAAAAATTTTTAAAGGAAAATGAACACACACCCCAAACAGGCTATTAAGCTTATTACCGTGTTGTCTTTTAGATGATAAGATACAATATCAAATATGTACAATAATTTTTTATAACTATTTCACTACATTCTCGCAACGACTGAAAAAGTATATTTAATAAGTTAGACTTGGAGTAATTATTATGTTCTTAAATTTTCAGGGTTAATAAATAATTTTAAAAAATTCAATATCAAATATGTAAATTAATTTTTAAAAAGTATTTCATTACATTCTCGCAACGTCTGAAAAAGTAAATTTAATGATTTAGACTTGGATTAATTTTTTTTTTAATTTAAGGTTTAGTAAATAATTTTAAAAAAATGCCCAAAAGGAGTTTGAATCCAACATGGGAGTCCATGTTGTAGTTAAGTGGGAAGGTTCAAAAAATTCAAATTATTTTCTATTTTAAATTATTTTTGAATTTCCAAATATATTGAAAGTTTGTCCTAAAATTTAACACTTCTTGAATTGTGGTTGTGTCATTTGACATTCTACTATTGTTTTACCTTTACTATTCTATATAGATAGATGACTGCGACAAAAAACGTATGGCTTATATCTGTGCGTATTTGTACGAAATTTCTTGAAATAGGGGCAAAATTTATTCGTAGGGTAACTACCGTTTTCTAACGGTCCTAAACAATCGGCGACCAACAAAGCCGCCTCGGACTACCCTCCCATCGCAAGGTAGGTCCCCTCTCTCTCATCTCTTCCCTCTTTCCCCCATCTCTCTCCTTTCCTCTCTTTTCTTTTTCTTCCCCTTCTTTTTACGTTTTCTCTTTACACTTCTCCCACCGCCAGCGACCTCATCAGCGGCGACGCTTTCTTTCTCCTCTTTCTGCCTCTCTCTCTCTATCCCCTTCGTTCTCCCTCTCTTTGCGTGTGTATGGGTGCGTGTTTTCGAGCCTGCGTACAGTGAACAGGGCTGACTGAGCTCCGGCGAGATTCAGTCATGCACCGGCGCGTGAGCATTAATACAGTTAGGTTTCCGGCTAGATTTTGCATCACTGGTGGACACCCCCTCAACTGGACATGTCCCATTTGATCTCAAGCCACTTCTGACGTGATCCAACAACTCCGGATAGATTTCCAGCGAGCTCCATTGTCTTGGTCGACTATTATTCCTCTGTTTAAAAAACCAGGCTCTTCTATTCTTGTTTTGTTATATTCTGTTTTCGATATGCTCTGTTACAATCTGTTTCTTCTGTTCCTAATGTGTTCTTTATTTGTCATTGTGTTCTAATTGCGGTTACTATATTTGCTTGCGGGCTTTAGATTAGTGAATTTTGTCTCGCTTATCTACCTACAACTACCATTTCTAGTACATTAGTTTTGTGATAGTGCTTGCTTAGTGTGACTTAGATTATAGTGGTTGTAGTGAATGATGGTAGGTAAGGTCATGTTCTCAGGAGGGGGGGTGGGGTCGATGGCAAGGGGGAGTAAGGGTGGTAAGGGAGTCCCCAAGCTGAGAGTTGGGTCTCGGAACATAAGGACTTTGACGGGAAAGTCTATAGAGTTAGCAAAGATTCTCCATAAGAGGAAGATCAATATAACTTGTCTCGAGGAGACTAGATAGATGGGAGTTAAGGCACGAGATATAGACATGTTTAGACTATGGTACTCTAGACGCGTGGGGGCAAGAATGGGGTAGGTATTTTGGTTGATAGGGATCTCAAGGAGCTAGTGGTGGAGGTTAGGAGGGTGAACAATAGACTAATGATTATTAAACTAGTTGTTGGGGAATTTACTTTAAACGTGATTAGTGCGTACGCTTCCCAAGTGGGCTTGGACGAGGAGATCAAAAGGCATTTTTGGGAGAATTTGGATGAAGTTGTGCTTGGTGTTCCGCACACTGAGAAACTTTTCATAGGATGAGATTTCAATGGCCACATTGGGGCGATTTTGGGGGTTATGATAATGTGCATGGCGACTTTGCTTTTGGAATTAGAAACGGAGGAGGAACTTCGCTACTGGATTCACTATTGGATTTTGCTAAAGCTTTTGATTTGGTGATAACTAATTTAAGTTATCAAGTGGGGGAGCTTTGACTAAAGACGAAGCCCAGGAGTTGGGAGATAAGTTGCTGGCTATGGGGCATGGAGGAGTAGTGGGGGCGCGAGAGGTATGTGAACCACGAAAGCGAATTGCATTGGAGGTTGCTAGAGAGGTATTAGCGGTCTTGAAGGGCTACTCTAGTGATCACAAGGGGGATTAGTGGTGGAATGGAGAGGTCGAAGGTAAAGAGGAAGCCGAGAAAGCGATGTATTTGAAGTTTTTGGAGAGCGTGGACGAGGAGGAGAAGATAATGAATATGGAGCGGTATAAGGTGGCTAAAAAGGAAGCAAAGTTACCGGTTATTACGACGACGAAGACTGTAGCGTTTGAACTGTATGAAAAACTTTAGGGCAAATGCATGGGTAAAAGTTGTATAGGCCAGCCAAGGTGAGAGAAAGGAAGGCCCGTGACCTGGACCAAGTGAAGTGCATCAAAGACGAGGAAGATAGAGTTTTGCTGGATGAGGCACATATTCGACAGAGATGACAGACTTACTTCCATGCAATCATGTACGAAGATGGGGATATGAACATTGAGTAGGGTGACTTGGAACAATCCGAGAGTCGTCGAGACTTTGGGTATTGTAGGCGTATAAAAGTTGAGGAGGTAGAGGGGGTTATGCATAAGATGAGCAAGGGAAGAGCGACGGGGCCAGTCAAAATTCTGTTTTGGAAGGGTGCGACAGGGCGGGCTTGGAGTGGCTCACTGAGCTATTAATCTCAAGCACTCCTGAAACTAATAATGACATTGATGGAGAAAGTATCAGCCACAGTATCAAAACCTAAACTTTTAATAAGGGTGACTACCCTTGTTAAATATCAAATCCACCAGAGCAGACTTCTCTAGTGGATTAATTTAAGTATCTGCGCAAGCATGATTAGACTCTCTACCCTCCCAAGTTAGAGGTAAGGTCCGCGTGCACACTACCCTCCACAGACTCCACTTGTGGGAACTCATTGGTTTTGTTGTTGTTGTTGTTTTTGCGCAAGCGTGATTCTTTGACCTACTAATAAAAAACTATACACAAAAGAAAATCTCTAAAACATATTACCTACAGGAAACAAATAGAAGCCAATTCTTTGCTGTGTATACTGAAGGAAAAATGATTTCACTTTCTCCACTTGATTTTAAAGGACCAATGAGCTCTAAAATAACCAGGTAATTAAGTGAAAATATCAACACAAATCAAATATTAGGGATGCTTTAAATGTGCATTGGGGTGCATAACAGAAACAAAAGATGAAACCAATTTACCGTGAAATTATACTTGAGATGATACAGTAAAAGTTGGAGCGAGTGTACTTCGCAACACAGTATTCACTGTTGTCTGCTCACTTGAGCTATTTTCCGATTTTGTGTAGACTGATAATGGGAGGCGACGAGACGGAGAACTTGAGTTTGCAGCCTAAAGGGGTTACTTTTGTCCTATAGAGCAATTTTAGTCATTTGTTTTCTCTTTCTTTGGAATTTTATTGAAATGTTGAGAGAGGAAGAACTCCTCTAAAAAGGGAATAGAGAAATTAGTAATTGGGGATTCCAAGTTTCTAACTCGCAAAAGACAGTGCATAGGTGCAGTAACTAATATAAAGGGAAAAGGAAAATCTGAATCATAGAAAGAGGAGTTTTTGGCCAATATTGTCCCTTGTGTTTGATGTTAGGTCTATTTTGGTCCCTCAAATATAACCCTGAGTATATTTAGTTCCTTAAGTATGCTAAAGTGGAGCACATTTAGTCTCACTGACAGAATCGAGAGGCTCAACAAGAGTATTAGATTCAGCATGGCTCGGGAGTTAGGTATTGACATCCCATACCAGCATCGCTAGGAGATTGGAGGGCATATGGGCCTGGGAGAGAGGAGGAAATTCAAAAATAGCCAGATTTACAACTGGTCGTTCAAAAATAGCCCAGTTTCAAAAGTAATCGAAATTTAGCCACTTTTCATCTAAAGATAAAACTGAGCGAAAACACTGTTCAAAACCTGAAAAATACGTCAGTATATTATGCTGGAGTTCCAGCATAAGTATACTTGAACTCCAGCATATTATACTGGAGTTCCAAGATAAGTATGTTGAAACTCCAGCATAATATGATGGAGTTCCAGCATAAGTACACTAGAACTCCAGCATAATATACTGGAGTTCCAGCAAGTATACCGGTCCAGCATAATATACTGGAGTTTGGAGCACCAGTGCTCCAGTATATTATACTGGAGCCAACAAAGTATACCAGTCCAGCATAATATGCTGGAGTTCATACACAGGTGCACCGAACTCTAGTATATTTTGCTAGACCGGTCTCTGTTGCAGCAAAATAGTGGCTATTTTTCATTGACTTGGTAAACGATGGCTATTTTTGAATGACCAGTTCGAAAACTGGCTATACCGTGCTATTTTTACGAGAGGGAGGCCAAGAGGCCTCAAGATTCTGGCACATATATTGGTGCCCGTGCCCCAGTTGCAGCCCGTCATGGTTAAGGGTGTTCATGGTTCGGTTTGGATCAGTTTTTCTATAAAAAGAAACCAAACCAAGTAAGTCGGTTTTTCAAATATTAGAACCAAACCAAACCAAACCAATTAAGTCGTTTTTTCTCGATACGGTTTATGTCGGTTTTTCAGTTTTTTCTCAAATATAAGACATACACTACCAAACACATATTCCGGCGATCACATTTTCAACGTAACACTATCAAATCAATTGCCCTTTGAGAAATCTATTATTTACTAAAATATATTGATGATAATTGAATCAAATAGTGATGAATAATTTAAGGACTCAATTAAAAATATATATTTTTTAACATGAAATGGATTCTTACGCTTAACAAAAGAAAACTACCAATCAAACTAGAATATAAATGTAAAGAACTGTACTAAAAGTGCAAACGATTAACATTAACCATAATTTTTTTGAAACTTTGTATAAAAATATACAACAGAAGCAGGAGCAGGAGCAGACACAATCCACAAAAAAAGTTCAGTACTAGGCCTCGTTGCATTACTATGTCACATACTTTTACGCCCAACTAAACACTGGAAAATTATTCAGAAAATGATGTCTCATAGTGAAATATTTTCACGAAAAAACTTTTTTTATGGAAAACACTTTCTTCCGTTTAGATGAAGTCCCAAAACTTTTGGAGGATAGTAAACTGACATTGTATGTAGCAAGTACAAACTCTGAATTGTTTCAACATCCGTGAATCTGACTGATGTTAATTCTGGTATGGGCTAACGTTGCTTTTATATTTGACACTATAGGATGGCGGTTGTAGAGCCTTCCCCCTTGTTGGATATTTTAGTAAGAGAACCAGAGGGTTTTGCTATATGGAATGGACCACCTTTCCCAAGTGGTCAACCTGGTATCAAGCTTGATAGGGTTCCTTGTACCAGTGCAAAGTTCAGTGAAGATGGGTCCAAACTCATGGTTACAAAATCAGACTCCATAATTAGCATCTTTGATTGCAAAACATTGAAAGAGATTAGGTCTTTTAATGTCCCAAACGTTCTTGCAGCTGTCATCTCTCCTTGTGGAACTTATCTTCAGACCTTCCAGAAATGTTCATCTCCTCAGGATAAGAACGTGGTCTTGTGGAAGATAGAAAATGGTGAATATGTTTACCAACTCTTCCAGAAAAATATGACAAAAGTTACATGGTAAATTTTCTTGTGTTTTGGCTGTCTATGTGGAAATTGATGCTCAGAATTTCAGAGTATTTTATTCACTTGCACTCTGATTTTTTCAGGCCTTCCGTGCGTTTCAGTTCTGACGAAACTGTTGCATGTCGATTGGCAACAAATGAGATCCAATTTTTTGATCCTAGGGATTTCTCTAAGGGATTTGTTAATCGGCTGCGAGTTCCTGCGATTGCTGCATTGGAGCTTTCTAAAGCCCCTGGATCCTACGTGGCTGCATTTGTTCCAGAATCCAAGGTCTAAAAATTATTGGATACTCATTAAATTNTCCCAAAACTTTTGGAGGATAGTAAACTGACATTGTATGTAGCAAGTACAAACTCTGAATTGTTTCAACATCCGTGAATCTGACTGATGTTAATTCTGGTATGGGCTAACGTTGCTTTTATATTTGACACTATAGGATGGCGGTTGTAGAGCCTTCCTCCTCGTTGGATATTTTAGTAAGAGAACCAGAGGGTTTTGCTATATGGAATGGACCACCTTTCCCAAGCGGTCAACCTGGTATCAAGCTTGATAGGGTTCCTTGTACCAGTGCAAAGTTCAGTGAAGAT